TAATTATATCATCCCGCCAGCAGTGTAAAAAATAATATGGTAGCTCTGGCTGCAGTCTTTACCTGTAATCTGGAATTGTCCTAAAAGCATGCAGTACCCATTCTTAGCCACAAGATGCCCCCAGTCTTTCAGGTTAAATAATGACCAGTGTCATTCAATCTCAAAAGATCGAGCACTCTCCTGTAAATGCAGGGTGTCACTACATCGCCCTTTATTCACAGTGTACTGGTGCAGAGGGCAGTGCTCCCATCATTAATTAAAAGCCGCTCTCTGCAAATATCAAGGACCACCCAGCTAGGAGAAGAGGCAAAAAGGACCCTGCATCATCTAAGGTAATGAAGACTTTGGAAATGGGAAGTATTAAAAAGAAAAATCTTAATGGGAGGGAGGGGGGCAGAGACTGGTGCTGGGCTTTAATAACACATGCTCTTAAAAACATTATAGAAATGTTTATGCTTAGGCATAGGGAATTTTGTCATAGATTAAAGTAAATAAAGTAGGACAAAATAACATACCCTCAATATTTACCCTAATACCATTTCTCTAAAGAATGCAATAAACCTGCCAAAACAAAGTGTATTTGCAGCATTTTTGACATTTAGCTGTCAACTAGAGTAAAGTAAAATGATTCATGCTTTGCAATGTGCTCCATTGTACTGTTACTTCAATAATATCCACTAGAGTGTGCTCGTCATTGTCACTTAAAATAAAGTTTGAGTTTTTTATACGCTTAAAGGAAACCTGTCTTGAGGCTTTCATTGCTGAGTGTTTCTGACAATGTTAGATGCCTGGCTGTTGACTCTTTTGCTTTAATATTCTGAGTCAGAGACCTGAGAAAAGTATAGTCAGGACTTTTGACTTTCCAGGCTGCACGCGCTCCAACATGACCCACTCCAGTAGGTACAGAACACTCTGATCATCTCTCTGTCCTCCTGATTAGGCCCCATTCATACCTATGTTTTTACCCAAAGCGCGACAATGCTCAACCAAAGGAAAACCCAGTTCTTTTCAATGGCCCCTGTTCCCATCTGAATGTTGTATCACTTGTCACCAGTCCTGTGAAGCTCAAAAAAGTAAAAAATGAAATTAAAAAAAAAAGCTTATTTTGGGGCAGAATCATGCATTTTGGCCCCACCGACTTCAATAGGAGCACTTCATTAAAAAAACATTTTTTAAAAGAAGGTGTGTGTATGCACGTTTTTCAGGCGCTGTCCATTAAAGGTCTATAGGGCCATCAATGCTCAATTTTGCTCCTGTACTACAAGTCATGAATGAGAGCACTTGAATAACACTCATACAAACATCCACAAAATGCCTCTAAATCACCTGGCTACACTCATGTTCAGGTGTGAATGGAGCCTTACATGGGACTACATAAATGTGTAAATATCACATGGGCTTTTTTGTACGTCTGGTTATGCTGCATAGTGTGGCAAATGGGCTAAACTAAAAACTAATTTTTCATGCACAGTAGCCTGCCATGGAAATCTACATACATGCAGGGGTGTTCGATTTGCACCAGATAAGTGTTTTTTTTCTACATTTAGCCCTGCTGCAGGCAAGCAGGGCTAAATGTAGAGCAGGGGAGCCATCATTAATTTTGTACAAGTGATCTTGGGGGATGTACAGCTGCCCAGGTTATTTGTAGCAACCAGCTTGTTCCCCCTATCCCTCGCCCCACCTCCTCGCCATGGTTTTTGGGGTTCCCTGCTCTTCTGGGGGACCCGGAACCACGGCAAATGACTTTAGGATGGAGAGTGGGGAGCAGACCGGAGAGCGTCCATTCTCCGATCTGCTCTGTGTGATCAGTGAGACAGGAGCACTATATTTACAGCGCTTCCTGTCTCAGCTGTCACAAGCTGGGCTGCACAGGAGATTGAGCACAATGCTATGTGTCTTCTGTATTGGAGGGCAGAGGAGACATGGTCTCCATAAAGAGAACCTGTCACCGCCAAACGCTTGTTAGCCCCTATGTGATAGCAATAAAGTTAGGTGAAAAAAAGTGATAAGTAAAAAATTATAAAATGAATACAAATTTAAAAAAATAAAAACCAACCCCACCCGTCCCGCCATCTGCATGTGAATAAACACACACATAGGGCATTGTGTGTGAGTGCTTGCCCAATTCAACTATGTGCCATATTGTGGTAGCTGGGCAGCAGCACCCCCTAACAAGTAGGATGTGCATTAAAGGGTAAATTCACCTTCCCATGTAAAATGGGAAAAAGGAATTACCCGCTCAAATCTGGCCCCCTCTCCCCACAAGATACTTTCTGGCAGTTCTTCCCCTCCGCCGGTACAGGTGTACTATCACGCAGCGCAGCCCTGCGCAATGGATTTTGAATTTTGCTCACAAATTGTGAGAACTCATTGGCCAGTGCTGAGAAGCGCTTCTAGCATGGTTAAGTACAGTTTTTGTTTAAATTATTTTTTTGTATCACAACAAGTAGATTGACATGAGGAACAAGAAGATTGGGGCCTCGCTTTAGTCCTTGGACAAGTAGTTTTTTCTTTTTTCATTTCCACACCCCTGACATGAATATGTACATTCTCTGTAATGTTGACATCAAGTGTATGCTTCGTTCAGACTTGCACTATGCAAGAGTTGAACTATGCCTATGCAAGACGTGAACAAAGAGAAGGGCTTTATAACCTGATTTTCAGCACAAACTGAAAAGTAACCTCTACTTCCCACCTGCGTATCCGTTGACATGGAGTAAGTACCCTCTATGGTTCCTTCCTCCCACCATGGCCCTTTCACCAGGATCAGAGCATGCGCTGACATACACTATATTAGAGCAATTATATCAGACAGATTGGAAAAGCCTTCAGAGCAAATGTGAAAGTGGCTAATTATGTACTGAATAAGATTATCTAAGCCCAGGAAGAAATACACTAACTGCTGTTCACTAAAAAAGAATACATACACTGATCGCATAGAGTCCTTGGGAGAAATACTGATAAACTTGGGAAGTGGCATTTTGGAGAGGAGTGGAGAGATAATGGCCATACTTTTAACAAAATTAAATATAGTTTAAACAAGGCTCCCCATTTAGACCGGAAAATAAAATGTTTGGACAAACTGAAAATACAGTCCTGGATAGGGGTTAATACAGAAAATAGTGAGATGCAACCATAAATGTGAAGATCATCTGCAGAGAAAAAAGTGTTTGCAGATGTGTGTATGAGGTTACATAGTTTTTGAGGTTGAATAAAGACACAGGTCCATCAAGTTCAACCTTTGTGTGTCTGTGTGTGATTGTGCATGTGTATGTGTGCACTTGAGCCCGTGACCTTGTTTTTAAGAGAACCTGTACCCGTGTATGTTAAGGTCTCTGAGAAAGGTATCTAAATGCTTGAGGAACATATCTAAATGCTAAAAAGGTACTACTGATGTTCCAATCCAAATACGTAATTGGTTATCAAACAGAAAAATTCAAGAGTACTGTCCATTTGTGTTTTTATGTGGCTTGTATTTGATCAGTTATTGTGTTTTCCGAACAATATGGGCTGGATAGCACTTAGCTGTCACCCTGTCGGGAGGGTCGTTTTAAATGCTCCAGCAGATTTTTGACAGACTTGCAAATTAGCCAAACTCCACTCACCACTTTTTTAACAGTTACAGCAAACAGTATTTTTTTTCCTTTTTGGGATACAGTTTTTACATAAATGAACAAAAACTAAACATTGTACCTATCAGTGTTAATTGGTTTGTCTCAACCCTCTAACTGCCACTTTTGCTGGACAGCTTGGTCTGTTAAAGGAAGTTGAAAAATAACAGACTTACTGGCCAGATCACCTGGTGAAAAACAACCTAAAAAAGAAAACTAATGCAGCCACCGGATTTAAAGTGTAAAGTCAAAAGGTTTTAAGCTATCTAAATGCTGATGAAATCACTTAAAATGGATGATGCTCCTTGATGGTTAAAAGTTTTTGTTTCCTGCAGAATGAGCTGGTCTCCTGATAACTGGCCCTGGTATCTTGTTTAAGGGCCCGCTCAAACTATCTCCAGTGCGTTCCAGCATTATTAGCTGCTGGAAGGCACTGGATTGCATACTGTACAGCTCCCTGCATTCTGGGGTCTCCACACACCCCCATGCACAGCAGGGCAAGTCACTCTCATGTCCCTGCCCCCCTCTCCACCCCTTTCCCTTCTCCAGGCTAGTAGATGGACAGCTGCTAGGGACTGATCTGTTCCTTGTGATTTTCCACTGGACAGGAAGTTCAGGGATGTGGAGTTGAGTTGTAGTCAGCTCTTTGGAAACATGATGACTGCAAGTGCTTGGACAAAAATGTAAAGAAATACTTTGCTGGTCAATGTAGAATTGTTTGATCTGGATTCTTTATTGAAAAAACGTTTGAGAGTTTAATATTGGAGGCTAGTCGGGCATTTTCGGTTTCGGTATCGGCCAGACAAATTTAACATTTTCAGTTTCGGCCACGAATTTTCATTTCGGTGCATCCCAAGTTTTAACCATTCACTGATCTTTAGACCTACTTTAGATCGAGCAGAACATAGGGGTCACAACCCCACCCTCTGCCTACTGCATGCTTCAGTACAACAAATGCCACGCCAGAATGAATTTTCAGTATTGGGTATAATCTCAGAAATGTTTTCAGTGTATTTATAACGCAGTAAATGTGACTTTCACCAAACATTCTCTGGTGATGAACCAGTCACTGTCGTTTAAACACATGCACCTGGAAAATCCACCTGCAGTGAATAGTGGATGAATGTCAGATTTACGGTTTTAGCAACATGCCCCTAAACTGGTCTTAGAAGTCAGAAGACAGGCACTTAATCTAGATGACTTCAGATTTAGTAACAAGTGTATATCTTAATAAAGATGCTCACATGATGATCCCATCATACTATCCCCCCGAGGTAAGCAGTGATGGGGCGCCTGCAACCCTTGCTTGCCAGTGGCCACCTTTAGGTTCTTCAAGCCAAACAAATATTTCTAAATATTTTATGAAACCTTAAAAGCAAAGTGCCTTACCTTGACATATAAAGGTTCCTTCAGATTGTCAATGAGCAGGGAAACTTTTTCTTCCCAAACAGGGTAAAGGTTCTTGTGTATTGTTTTACTTCGAAAAACTTCTTTCCCTCCAATCTTGAACTTGACATACGGATCACTTGTCCCTTAAAGAGACAAAACCATGACATTAAAAAATAATATTTCACAAACAAACAAAAGAACATTTTGCTCCTGTGCATCATCCGATTCATTTCTTCAAGTGTCAACCTGTGCAGGTAAGCCCCGTGCCCTATACAGGAAGAACTCATATACTTCCACATACCTACAGGTAAACAGTGTTTTGAAGCAAGGTACCAGCACAATTTCCTAACAAAAAGGAAAGCAACTTTTTGATGACAGACTAGTTGGAATCGCAACCTTTAATTTACAGCAAAGAAACTGCATTGACAGAAAGACATAGGCTACCTGGGTTAACCTCAGTTATTTACTGATGACAGGCATTCAGATCAGGCCTCCTGGCTTGTGTGCTTGTTCTGATTATTTCAGGGCTGGACAAATCGCAGGAGCTAAGTCACCAATCCTCTTTAACAATTACACCTGAACTTTTGAGGTTTTCCTAGTTGTTGTCAATGGAGCTGGCTCCTAAACAAATCCTGATGGCTCCTGGTTTGGACACACTGGTTCCTGACTTCCATATTAAATTGTTCACCCATGGATTAATTGACTAAAAAAGTATTGCCGACACTAGACAATGCCAGGAAAGTAGAATTTCCAGGTGTAGGTGAGAAGAAGCAGCCAACTTGCTATATTTTTCTCAGTACAGGTTTTCAGTTAATACTGGTTGGAGGACAGTGTGCATATGACACTGTACATCACTGCCCTCTTTCACCCAGTATGTACAGAAGCATGAAAATCAGCAAGACAAATGCATGCCAACAGGTGAGATGAGACCCTTGTTTCATGTAATATAACACAAGCCAAATTCATTTGTAAAACGATAAATTAGATACCATTCATGACTGTGGACATCAAAAACATCGATCATCACATGATTTGGATGTGCCATAATTCAGAGCACAACAAACTTCAAAAAATATAAAAGCAGGTCACAATTCATAAATGAGACAATAAAAATAATAATAGAAATGCCATGATGGAATTAATATTGTGATAGCTTACAATCATAGTAGTAGGCAGAGTCTCTATGATTAAGCCTTTTCGGCCAAACATAACCGAGCCTGTGGATCTTGTTATGCTTGTAATGTTTTAGATCCCTGGGAATACAGTTTTATACAGTACATTCCTGGCTGTTGAGTGTGGCTTTACCTACACTGGAGCGTAGTAGTAATGGCTATAATCTTACAATATGGTGTATAGAAGATTACATATGCTATATATAAAAACACAGCAATATTACAAAAAACGGCCCAGTAACCATTAAAGGACCATACCTACATTGCAATATACTCATAGCAATATTAGATAACACGTAACCACTAAAGCTGGATCAGAATGACAGCCAGGCAACCAGAATTTTTAGAAGGAGCAACACCAGCCTCCATAATTCTCTCATGATAGGGTTCCTTTAAAATCAGTGCATTGTAAATGTACTCCCTGTTCTCATCTACGCGTTTTGACGCTCAAAGCGAAAAATGCCGAAACACTCAAGAGAAGGAATCCCATTTATTTATGTGGACCTCTATTCACACCTTAAAGTTTTGTCGCAAGCAGGGAAACACCTGTCGCTTGAAAAAGTATATGAGCTACTTTTCCCCAGTTTACAGTGCTTTTTGGTCCCATAGACTTCAATGGGAATGTTTGTGCAACAAAATGAGCGACAAAACGCTCAGGTGTGAACAGAGGCCTAAATTGTATTCCTTGTCTTGAGTGGTTTGTTGTGCTTAGCTGTGAGTGATAAAACGCCTAGGTGTGAACGGGAGATAAGTGACTGGGAAGTTAGATTATGAAACCATTCAACTTTATACCTATAAATTGTTAAGTATTAGTAAAATCTCTTCTTTTTTTTATCGATCAGGTTTGACTACAAGAGCAGCACAAATATTGAACTCCGTATAGGATACAAGTGTTGGCATGTCTCAATATACAAAGTCATGTAGGTACAACTTATTTAATGGAACATAAAAGATTTAAAAGTTACAGTACAGGTGACAATATTATCTCTTTAATTGTTCCTGTGTTGTGTATCCAAGCAAAATAAAATAACCAGTAAACAAAACCATAAGAACTTAAATTATATTGTTCCATCTGCTGCAAGTTGTTGAATCGTGAGGTGGTCCCCCGGAAGGTTTGGTTGGAGTACCTGGAAGGTCTGGCGGGAGTGCTTAGGTATACAATTTCTACTGATGAAAATGCATCAAACATTCAGTATATGTGGGGTTTTAAATGATTGTATATCCTGTTCGAGTCAATGGGTCCTAAATTTAAAAGAATTTAGATGGACAGCCTCTATTCTATGGGCAAATACAAACTTCTATTAAGGGAGTGACATATTACCAAAATTTAGCCATTGGGAGACAGAAGGAACTTCCTTGGCCATCCAACATAAAATACCAGAATTACTAGATAAAAAAAAAAAATGTGTATGCCAATTTACTAGAGATTGCTAGGCAGTGAAGATGGCCTAGGTTGCATATTGGAGGGGCCGAGGAAGATCTCATCTTTAACCCCTTCCGGAATGATGATCCCGTCACGATCGTTCAGTTGGTTAATGACCAGTGATGGGATAATCCCATCATGCAGTACAATGAGAGCTGGTCCATAAAGGGACCAGCACTCATAAAGGTACTGCTGTTGATGGGTCCCTCGGGACCAGAGGCAGACCCTCAACAGCAGATTAGGTGGTCACAGTCCTGTGATCACAGAGTGTTGTGAATCTGCTAGCTTGCTGTGTGTTACAAAAGTGATACAAAGTATCTCTTAAAATACTGTATTGTATTTAGAGATACTCAGTTTCAAAGTCCCTGTAAATTAAAAAAATAACTCTTAGTGCCCCCTAAAAAATATAAAAATGGAAAAATAAGGTTTTTAACATTTTTAAAAAGGGGAAAAAAAGGAAAAAAGTTAAAAAAAAATATGTTTAATAAAAAAGTTTCAGAAAATATAGTGCAGAGGAGGATATTAAGGATAGGAGACAAACATACAATTCTAAAATTGTTCCACACTAAAATTGTATTTCACTCCTATAACTCCCAAAATAAACTGAAATCCCAGACATATGATAAACCCTATAACTCAGGTCAAATAAACAAATTATTATCAATTACTTTCTGTTAGCTACACTAATTATGCACACATTATTATTGCCAAAACGGTGTTTTTGTTTTTTATTTTTTTTTAAAAAGAATTAATATATGCATATGTCACTTCAAATTAAAGCCCATTTTGTCCTTTAAAAACAGTATATAATATGTGTAAGTGTAATCAATGAGGAAGATGGAAATTATGGTTAATCAAACACATAGCAAAAATGGCAAAATTGCTCCGGTCCCCAGGAACAAAAACAAATTCTAAAGCTGTGTCACTAAGGGGTTAATGCCATCTCTGTCCCTGTTGTATAGATTTACTTTTCACATTTCCTATAACTCCCAAAATAAACTGAAATACTTGACATATGATATACCCTATAAATCCGGACAAATAATAGAATGTATTATGAATTACTTTCTGAACGCATATGCTTTGGCTCGGCTGAGTGATTTGGCTGTTGTACGGGCCATTGTGAATAGCCTGTACAGCAGCCGAACGGTTCCCGAAGGCTTCCCGCTGCCGAAGGATTAGCCAAATACTCGTCTTAATCCTTCGGCTCCTTAGTGAATAACCCCCCACAATGTTTCAATCACACATATGGAAAGTTATTGTAATGGACTGTCTTGTAATTTCAATGTTTTACCACTAGATGGCAAGCTAAGATTTCCAGAGCAAGAATCAGCCAGAAAACCTGTAAATGAGACTGTTCTGTATTAACCTTCTGTCTGTAAATGAATAAGATTAACTACAAAACTGGCATATTTTACTTTTCTTATTTCCGGTGACACATTTTCCTTGCATGAAATTAACCTACATTGCCAAGGGGTTTACCAGTCCTCTACATGTTACTGATAACAGAAGGATGCTCTGTCACAGTGTTTCTAGCACCATTCTTCAGGAACTATTAGCACTGCACCGTGCCCACGCTTACAGGGAATTACACACGTCTATTAATAGGCACATAATTTACCTGTGATCCTGTGAAATGAAAAACATGCACCGATAAACATCCCAGGGCATGGGATACAATGTTGTATTGTTTCCTATTAATACATTTAACATCTTGTCTTGAATTGTATATTGTAAAGCGCTGCGCAAACTGCTGGCGCCATATAAAAATCCTGTATAATAATAATATAATAATAATAATAGGGAATAATACTAAATGCATTTTTTAGGTTTGGGTAAAATGGGCCACCTTTATTGCTGTCACCCATGAAGGAAGATATTTCCCCACCCTCAGTTGTGAAGGCCAGTACTCTACTGGGAACTGACCTTCCTGATATTTAGAGTGGATTCTCCCTTTATTTCGTTGGAGTATGAACTTGGTAGGCCAGTAACCCCACAAGTGTCACTTTACCACTGGCAGATTCTGTATGACAGGATTGAACACATTAATATGGAACTCAGGAGTCAGACTCTCCAATCCAGGAGCAAGTAGGTTTTCTTTGTTGTTTAGGAGCCAGCTCCTTTGACAACTAGAGAAAACCTCGAAAGCTAAGTGCCAGCAGTATTTTTTTAGGAGCATCAGCTACCTGGCTCCTGGTATTTGTCTAGCCCTATTGGATGAGAATATATGAAGAAAGCAAAGACCAGGGAGACGCAGTTTGATCTCCTGACTTTGCTGTACTGCTATATACCCCCTTGGAGACATTTCCCATTCCAAGTCTTGCTAAAACCCTGCCTAAAACTACAAGTGATAGGGAGAAGGCAGCTGAATGGAAGCTGAACTCCAAGATGAGCAAATATCTTCTAAATAAAAGAGGCATGTGTATTCCTACATGAATCGTGATGTGCTTTGTGTATTTCTTCCAGATCTGTGCAGTAATCTAGTGTGAAACTTTGTTTCTGTGCAAGAGCTTCCTGTAATAAAGACCAGTCACTGGTCCTCTCTCCC